CTTGTAAAATAGATAAAGCTTGATTCGTTCTCTTTCTACGCAGTCTGGTGTCATCATTGACAGATGTCATGCTCTTTTTTCTTTTATTACATTAGCTATTCTTTTTCGCCGAATATTTTGGGTATGAAATGTCTCTCGTGACTCCTATGTAGGACGTAGTTTTCTTCATAACATTCATTTGGTCTTTTTACTCATTACAGAATACGATCGTAGTTTCCTATATAACTTTGCAATGGTCATCCGTGTTATGTCATATAACATTTTAGTACCCATCTTTGCCAATCAACCAAAACAATTTTCTAAATGTCAACCTGAATATCTTCAAACTGACTATTGATAGAATCTGATTCGAACTGGTTTAGAACAAGAAATTGTTCGTCATGAAAACATTAATATCTGCTTACAAGAATTATCTCTTGCACTTTTACCTGAACTTGAATTATTTTTTCGTCAGATGAATTATACATTTTTTCATAATCTTTATGACGGAAGAAGAAATGATTATATGGGTATCGAAATTGCAATTCCACTTTCTATGTAACTCAATTCAATTTCTATTAATAAAATTGGAGATCATATACGTTTCATGACTACACTTCATTAGAAAAAGTCTAACTTCTATACATCGGAATCAAATCTGTATCCGTTTGTTGTGAGCAAATTTATACAAGTTGCATCAGATCCATGGGCAATTGCGCTGTATAAAATAAATATTCCTATTTGTATAGGAGTTGTTATTAATAATAAACCAGTATATATATATCGGTACATATCACATGCCTTGTCTTTTCAAAGAACCTGATATAATGTTAATTCATTCTTCAATTGTTAAAGATTTAATGTTTCAATTATGATAGGGACATGATTTTATTCTAGCAGGTGACTTCAATTTGAAACGATGGGACATCACTTACAAAGCTTTAACAGGAAAAGATAATTGTGCCATCAATTTACCGGAATCGAATACTTATGAAATATCCTATCGATGCAATGTTAAACAAATATTGAAAACTGCCTACCGACAGAGAAATGAAAGTGAACCTGCTTACACAAATTTTGTAGATACAGACTTATCATTACGCTTCTGTGATACATTGGATTACATATTCTTTTATGGTGACCCTACGGTAGAAGATGTTTTGGAATTACCAGATAAATCTTCCAATGAATCTTATCCTAATCAAATAAATCCTTCGTATCATTTAATGATTGCAGCAACATTTCGATTATAAAAATTTTTTAAAAATTATTTTGTATGATTTTGGTAATTTCAACAAAATAATTTTATTCCGAAACAAATTATGTATGGCAATATGAAAAGTCTTAGATTGAGAAAGAAAGAATCTTTTGCAAAGCGACGTAACCAGGTTTTCAGCGTAAGGTGAACTCAGCCCCAGAAACTCTTTAAGACCAATAGAAAACAATGTGAGTTTCTTCTACCTCTTCGAGTAGATGTTGTATTTTCTGGATGCTCATGATGTGCTGAGTGTTCTAGGGGAAAAAGTGCACTTGAAGTACAAAAGTACAGCAAAGTACAATAAGTCAAGGGGGGAAAAGCGGATCCCGGGATCCAATGGGATCCAGCGGGATCCAGTGGGATCCATCGGGATCCCGGGATCCAATGGGATCCAGCGGGATCCATCGGGATCCAGTGGGATTCAGTGGGATCCATCGGGATCCAGTGGGATCCATCGGGATCCAGTGGGATCCAGCGGGATCCATTTGGATTCAATGTGATCCATTAGCTTCCATCAGGACACGCATGCAGTGAGACGAAGACTATCTGCCTGAGCTGTTTCCATCTGTTACTTTGGGTCTCGACTGAA